ATAGAGCAAGGGTCACCAAAACTTTTTCAGAGAAGGCTAGGTAATTGAGACAATGACGAGCGTGGGCCGGATAACCGTCTTGTTCAATGCAATAAAGACAACAAACGCACTTATTTACTAAAAAGTTATCCAAAAAGGTGACAATAGGAATAAAATAGTTATTTCGCACATATCCGAATCTCACAAACTAAGCAGCAAAAAAGGTTAGTGTGATTTGTGAAACTAGCGTTTACCTTTTAAGATATAATTAATATTTGTTTTGGTATTGTTGCATCCAACCAAGAGAAATGCTTTCAAATATTCATCAGTCAACCTCGTTACACGTGCTGACTTTACATACTTTAGATTTTATAATAAGTTCAGGCAAAATATGACATAATTCGTTGAAGTCAGTTCTTTTTATATACAGCACTCTTTAAACTGGTTTAAATACGACAATGCAAATTAAAACGTAATTTTCCTATAAACTTCATTGCAGGTACTTACACAAAAAGTGCTCGGATATCAAAAATTGTAACAAGTTGCCGAATCTTTTATTTCTTTGATTTTCTTAAAACCTATATTAATCTCAGATGCAAAGATCAGATTGGCCAAATTTTGGCATTTTACTTATATTTATTTTATTTTTTTTAGGTATTCAATGTTCTGGCATGTTCAAATAGCCGAATCTACTTTTTCAACTCCCGTTCCAACGTGTCGGGATAATCGAACAAGTATTGCTCTTGTAAAGTCTGTTGGCAGGTGAATATTGACCAGGAAGTTGAAATGCTCTTTAAAGAAGAACATTTTATAACCTTTTAAGTTCAAAAATGGGATCTTTTTATGTGCATTATGTAGAAAGACACAGGATTAATATTTAGGGTGACAACAAATATTTTCTTCACAGAATTTGGAACAAAGTTTGTATTTTCCAACAATAACAAGGATGAAACCAAAAAAAAAAAGAAGGTGTATATACGATAATTAACAACGGTGAATGTTTACTTATTTATTTTAGTAATTGTTCCCCAATACAAGGCCTAAAAGCCACTCAAGGTATCGGGTTACTGATTAAAATTTTTGATGGACATAAGAGGAGGGGGTAAGAAATTCAAATTATGAGGATATGTAAGATAGAAAACGGCTGACCCTTGAGTTGAAGAGGTTAAGATTGTAGTGATTGGAGAAACATGGTCTGGAGAGGCAGCAGCTCTAGGGGAGGGGAGTTGTTTGAATCGAACATCCTTCTTAGCCGGGGGGGGGTCACCAAACTTTATTCATAAAGGACCAGATAACTGAGAAAATGACGAACGCTGGTCGAATAACCATTTTGTTCAATAAAATACACTGAATGCACAAAAAATAATGACAACAAACATACTTATTTACTAAGAAGTTATTCAAGAAGGCGACAATAGCAATAAAATATTTATATCACACCATATGCGTACATATTAGAATCTCTCAAACTAAGCAGCTCAAAATGTTAGTGAGATTTGTAAAATGCGCGTTTACTTTTTAAGATATAATTAATATTTCTTTTGCTATTGCTGCATCCAACCAAGAGAAATTCTTTCAAATGTTCATCAGTAAATCTCGTTACATGTCCTGACTTTACATACTTTAGATATTAGAAGTTCAGGCAAAATATATGACATAATTCGCTGAGGTCAATCCTTTTTACATACGGCACTCTTCAAACCCGTCTAAATACGGCAATGCAAGTTAAAACATAATTGCTTCAGCAGGCTCGTAATCGTTTTTCTTAGAAATTTCCTTGCAGGGACTTACACAAAAAGCGCTCGGATATCAAAAGTTGCCGAAGGTTTTATTCCACTGATTTTCCTAAAACTTATATAACTGTCAAATGCAAAAATCAGATTGGCCAAATTTTGGTATTTTACTTACATCTATTTTTTCTACATACTAAGTTTAATTACAATCTATTGATAATTATCTTATCCCAGCTGCTGCAACTGCTTCTACTGTTGTTGGTGCTATGTGTCCTTATTGAGAGTTCCCTAGTAGAAGATATTATTTGCAAGCGTATTCATGATCACATTGCTCTAACGGGTTTAGATAGTACGTGGGTGATCTGTCTTAGTCTCTAAACTGTGATTGGTTCTGCCAATATATTCAGCATCACACTGACATTTGTATTTATAGATACCTGAACTAATATGATGGAAGGGTTTATAAAATCTTTGTGTATGGATTTCGGTATAGGTTGCGTAGGGAACTCAGGTCTGGTATTGGCAGAAAAATAACAAATCTACACGTTTTATGCCTATCAAATAAAATGCTAACTTCGTTTTTTTCGCATGCTTTCTCTGTCTCCACTTTGATTGATATCTTTGCACATACAAAATGTACTATTGTGAAAATATTATTATTATTATTATTATTATTATTATTATTATTATTATCTTTGATTTCTTCTGTATACACAGTACTTTCCGGGTCCCAACCAGAGACTAAATGTCAAAAAAGGCATCATAATATTTTCCATTGAGCATCATACTTATTATAAAACCAAGGTTGTGTGTGTGTGTGTGTGTGTGTGTGTGTGTGTGTGTGTGTCTGTTCGTTTATATATTGGATCGGATTTCCTACATTTTTCAACTGATTTCAACAAAACTTAACAGGACTACGTAAAATTACCTCGCGGTGGTTCTGACAGCGCCAAAAATTGGAAAAACACAATTTGAAAACACGATTAAGAGGCATCGCTGTCGATAATGAAAGGGGGACATCTCATATCGAGTTATACTTATTATAAAACCCAGTTTGTTTGTGAGTGTGTGTCTGTGTTCGTTTATATATGGGATCGGATTTCCTACATTTTTCAACCAATTTCAACAAAACTTCACTTTTTTTTTGGCAGGTAGTGTTTCTTATTGTCTTTCACACTTTTTTCTTTATTTTTACATTCAGAATGCCGAATCCATTTACAAGACAATTGTTTATAATAAAATTCTATTCAATCGATAGACTCATAACGATTGAAAACAATGTTTTTGTTTGAGTTTGGGTTTGACCAATTCTTAAAAAAAAAGTAATTAAGACATGCGTGTCCGTCAACCTTAAACAATAATCTTTGTCAATTTTAATTTTCAGTCTTTATGATGGTCGATGCTTGATCTATCTCTTACTGTTATACCCTCGGGCAACGCCGGGCTCTACTGCTAGTTTTTGTTTATAAAAAGAAACAAAAACAAAAATTATACAGTTTTTACATAAATAAAAACCTTCGTAAGGTATAAGTTGTAACTATGAGTAGAATTCTTCGTATTTCAATAAGGCATGGGCTTCCAGGGATCCCTTCAATGAGTCTATCGTGACCTTTTTTTAAGCAAACGGAGATTATTATTATTATTATTATTATTGGCTCTGTAAATGTCGAAAAAAGTACCGGCTATTTTCGTCAGTACCAGCTGATACACAATATCTGAATATATGTGTATGCACATCCGGTCATTAACAACCTGAACATTTCGGTTAAGAGATGTGAATAGAAATTCGTTTGGGATTAATCCATTAACAGGACATAGTCGAAGCTCTACCAGCATCTGATGGACCATTAATGTACCTCTGATGGTGTGTGGAACTGCAATAATTCTTTTAGAATAATGATGGAGTAGTTCCCATTACATTTTGCAATTTAGGACTATAGTGCTCTGTCTACCTTACTACTTAACCCACGGTTAGGGAGAAAAGAAATGATTTCCTGTCTTTCCCAATATGACAATAGTGCGAAGGTGAAAACAAGAAACTAGACAAGAATTTGAACTCGTCTTGACGAATCCACTTTCAAAATCATACTTTATGTACAAACAGAAGCACTTTTGAATTTTGCGTGTGGACATTATTCATGAAACAATATGGTTGACATTAAAAGTTTTAAACTTCGACATCGACGTGTTTTTTGCTCTCGACAATAAACCAATGGCGGCCATGTCTATATACCTAGCGAAATAATGAAGTCGTAAATTGTGGCAAATTGAAATGTCTTTCCGACAAAAAATAGAACAAGGAATAAATAAAAGAAAGGACAGAAATTACAGCCTCTAATATATATATATATATATATATATATATATATATATATATATATATATATATATATATATATATACACTTATAGAAATATTTAATTCCCCACACACACACACACATATATATAAATATGTATTTATCTATCTATATGTACGTGTTTGTTCGTATGTAACAACTGATATATATATATATATATATATATATATATATATATATATATATATATATATACTTATAAAAATATATAATTTCACACACACACACACACACATATATATATGTATCTATCTATATGTACGTGTTTGTTCGTATGTAACAACTTATTATATATATATATATATATATATATACACTTATAAAAATATATAATTCCTCACACACCGCACACACGCACACGCACACACACACACATGTATCTATCTATCTATATGTTGGTGTTTGTTCGTATGTAAGTACTTGTTATATATATATATATATATATATATATATATATACATATACATACACACCTGTGTGTGCGTGCTTGTGTGTTTATATTTATAGATACTTGGAGCGTAATTTACGTTCCGTTCTTATATAGTAATTTCCTCGCAAGTTATTTCGGATTCAAAGATAAAAGGAATGTTTCAAACTGATAGAAAAAATTGGTTGAAATATAAAATTTCTAAAGTATTTACTAATTATTTTCCTAATGATGCAAAATAGGCGGACGAATGGAACTGGGAACCGTTCAGTATTGATTAAAACTATGTTGAAAAGTTTTAGTGGCGTATGACGTGGACACGTTGAGTTGACATTCGCGTAGTCTTAAACGATTTAAATTAATTATTCACCAAAAAAGATATAATATATTACGTGTTTTTTTTTTAAATAAAAAAAAAAAAACGAACAATGGAAACCATTGGAGGAAATAACAAAGCATATTTTTCTTCTTATCTCATGACGGAGCCTATCGTCGACGAATTATGAGCGACAATGATGCAGCCACCCTCCGCGAACCAGATCTGTTTTCCGTCAACCACATCTGTTTTCCGCCTCATAAAACAGCCTCTAAATAAAGCATATATTCTAATAGGTAAAAAAATATCAAGAAACGTGTTTACTAATATATTTTAAAAAACGTTCCGTTACCGTCAGAGTTTCGGAGTATTTCATTCGCATTATAGACTCCATGTTGAGTTTAGGCGGTGTAATGGTTAGCAAGCTTGTCTCGCGAGAAGAATCAGGACTAAGTAGTGAGTTCAATCCTTACTGGGAGCTCCATATTTATGCCCTTGTGCCACATCTAAGCTACGCTTGGAAAATCACTATACTGTCAAGCTTTTTCTATTCCAGTTTCTTCGTGATTGGTGACTAACAAAACTGAGATTTGTCTACACAGGTTAACTGATCGTTGGAGGCGGTCCTGATTCGATCTGGTGAACCTTCTGTCAATTGTCTTGATTTTTCTCCTTTTTGTTTCATTTTCCTTTTCGGAACATCATTTCTATCTTTAAATCTTTTGAGCAATAATTCTTGCTTTCTGTTTTTCTTTCTTTCTTTACTGTGAATTTTCATTTTCTTTCTTCTTTATTGATTGATCTCGTAATTTCGGCTGTTTTATTTTTTTTTCCTTCTCCTTTCTTCTTTCTATCTTTCCTTTCGCTTTTATGAAATATCATTTTTTTTCTTCAAATCATTTCGACAATATTTCAATCATTCTTTTTCTTTCTTACTTTTTTCATTATTTATTTTTCTTTTTCTTTCGTTTCTCAGTTTTTTGATTTTACTTTCTCCATTCGTTTTCCTCTTTCTTTATCTTTCTTTCTTTCTTTCTTTCTTTCTTTCTTTCTTTCTTTCTTTCTTTCTTTCTTTCTTTTGGTGTTCCATTTGTTTTTATTTATTTATTGATTTCGTTTTTCGGCCTTCTGACTTTTTCCTTCTCCTTTCCTTTTTCTTTCTTTCAATTCGTTTTTATAAAACATCATTTCTTCTCCCAAACTTTTGAGCAATACTTTATTCTTTCTTTCTTTCTTTCTTTCTTTCTTTCTTTCTTTCTTTCAGTATTTTTTTTCTCTTTTTCTTTTGTCGCTGGGATTTCTGATTTTTCTTTCTCTTTCTTTTTCCGCGTTCTTTATTTTTCCTTGTGATTTTCTTTTTTTTTTCCCGCCTTTCAGCTTTCTGATTTTTTCTTCTCCTTTCTTTTTTTCTTCATTTAACACTTTTTTCTTTTTTCTTTCTTTTTTTCTTTCTTTTGTTTCTTGGCCGTTTGATCTTTTCCCCTTTTCTTTCCCCTTTTTTCCATTTTCTTTCTTTCTTTCTTTCTTTCTTTCTTTCTTTCTTTCTTTCTTTCTTTCTTTCTTCTCTCCATTTTCGCTTTCCAAACATCATTTCTTCAAGTGTTTTTCTTTCTTTCTTTCATTTTTTTCTTTATTTCCTTCCTCAAATTATTTTGGAAATCTTTCTTTATTTCTTTTTTTTCCCAGCCACTTTTCTTCTTTTTTCCTTCTTTCTTGTCCTTCTTTCGTTTTTTTCTCACGGATATTCTTTCTTTCTTTCTTTCTTTCTTTCTTTCTTTCTTTTTCACACCTACTTTCCTTCTTTCTTGATTTTTCCATACACCCCTTCCTTCGTTCCTTTTTCTTTCTGTTTCCAACCCACTTTCGTACTTTTTTCTTTTCTCCTTCCTTCCTTTCTTTCTTTCTTTCTTTCTTTCTTTCTTTCTTTCTTTCTTTCTTTTTCACACCTACTTTCCTTCTTTCTTGATTTTTCCATACACCCCTTCCTTCGTTCCTTTTTCTTTCTGTTTCCAACCCACTTTCGTACTTTCTTTCTTTTCTCCCTCCTTTCCTTCCTTCCTTCCTTCCTTCCTTTTGATTTATCGTTCGACCTCATTTCGTTTCTCCAGTAGCCTACTTAGAGAATTTTTGTTGAAATAATTCTTTTTTCTTCAGAAATGACATATACTCTGTGTTTTTCTTGTCTTGTCTCGGATGACATTCAAAAAGGCGAGCCAAGAAGACAAACTTATGTTCAAATCTTCTTTTTGCTTTTCAAAATAGCGAATCCTACTGGCAGCGAAGAATTATTCTCTATTCTTAAGCCTCTTTTTCTGTGACGTAACGTACCAAGAATATCGCTACTTTAGTTTTATTCCCATGTCAGTTGTTCTGATGAGTTCTATGCTTCAGTTCCACGAACTTTACAGCCAGGAGAGGCAATATAACTTCCACGATCTCAATTCCAATCACCTGAAGAAGGCCGGAGATTACAAAGACCGAAACGTCGTGAATACGGCTACGAAGATGAGCGCAACAGTCCAAATAGTAAATAATTAAAATACCTCATCTCAGAAATATAGACAAACAGAATGCGTCTACATGTAAGGATGTGTGTGAAACGGATTTACGTTGTTTTATAAATACGTATAAATTGTAGCAGTCGGCAGCTGGATAAGCAGTGATCTGTCTCAATACTAATGTTTATATCTGTTCTTGACAAATAAAAGACAGGAAATTGTGGAGAGTCATGATCGCCAATGTCCTGAAGGGACATAGTACAAAGAAGAAGTACGACTAATAACAGATATGACTTGTTCGTCAAGGTCTCTAGATTTTTTTTCTATGTTACTTGCGTGTTGACATGTTGACACATGTAAACACCTAGTTTCTCTTAATAGAGCGCAAGTTTATTATAACTGATATGAAAAGCGTGAAATCTAAAGGCGATGAATTGATTCTCAAACCTTCTTCAAAATACGCGTGAAAATGTTTTCGAGATATAAACAAATGTTAAATAATAGTTTCAGACTATTATTTCTTAGTGTATTTGGCTTCAGACCTTCTGAGGCTGACCTTAAGGAGAGAGAGAGAGAGAGAGAGAGAGAGAGAGAGAGAGAGAGAGGGGGGGAAGACAACTTTATCATGATCACCTGAAGACCGTCAATCAAAAAAGATCCCCAGAGGAGAGTGTACATATGCAACAAAAAGCTGTATTTTGTGTTCATTTAGTGTAAACTGATGAGTGATGTGTACTCCGAATCTGTACCCCCATACGGAACCGAACTATGTGGATCAATCGGTTAAACGCACGTCAGGCTATATGACGGTTCCGTATAGGATACAGATTCGATTCCTGTCGGAGGACGCATATTTTATATGAAAATATCTCGGACATTCAGGCCAGGAAATGTTATTAATACTGTTTATTATAAACAGAGCATTTCTTAAATATTTGAATCTATAAAAAGAGTGTATAAACATAAAAATGCCGTTATATATATATGTGTGTGTGTGAAAATATTTTTCCTAAACATTTATTTAAATTTATATATAAAACCATACATTTCTTCCGAGCGCATAAATGAATATATACTTTCGCTAATTTCTTTTTTGAATTCCTGTAAAATAGTTAACCGCTTCTTAGAATAAATTTACCAAAACTAATAATATATTAGCGCCAATGTTGATATAATTAAGGACGGCCGACAAAAATCAAATGAATTTCCTTTTCCGCTTCCTTCTAACCATATTTTTGCATCACGATTGTCTTCCGTAAATCAAATTTAACGTCTGTTTTAAGAAATATTTTTTTTTTTTTAATTGTTATTCACATTCTTATCATGGCTTCATTGTCATCTGTAATAGTAATTCAATGCAATTGAGAAATTCCCGAAATCCACCCTTAACACACACACACATATTTGTACGTATATCTGTGATATATATATATATATATATATATATATATATATATATATATATATATATATATATATATATAAAAAGTAAATAAACTGTGTGAATACACAAATAACAACAATTAAGTCAATTTAATACTAATTAATGTTGACTGCATGAATACAAAATAGCCCAAGTAACCAATACTAATTAAGTTTAAAGTTAACAAACGACTCTCTACAACAGCTATGAAATAACCGTATTCTGGAACATTGTTTTTATACTCTCAGGCTTCAGAATAATTTCAAATGTAGCCGTTCCCACCTATCCAAACAGCCGTTGGAAGGCCAACAATAAAGCGTAAATATATGACATTTCTACCCGTAATTACTGACTGACCAGCATATCTAATTAGTCGAATTCCCAGGCTAAACACAAGACCTGGAAATTGGGTTCAAGCAAGACAGACTGTCACAAAACGGTGTTAATCAGATATTGAGGCATATCTGTTGCCTGGCAGCATACCTTAAAGCTATATTTTTATCATAAATATATGAAATATATGATATATATTATACATTATAATATATTACGATTATATGGTTACACACAGACACACACAGACACAGACACGCACACACACACACACATATATATATATAATTATAAAATTATATATATAATTATAAAATTATATATATATATAATTATAAAATTATATATATATATAATTATAAAATTATATATATATATAATTATAAAATTATTGTAAAATTATGTAAAACAAAGAATAATATTTTTTTCTAAATAAATGCACATTACAACCAAAAAAACGTTTGCGGCAACACTCTTCTCTTCTTTTTAATATACATACTTTTCTCTCGTTGGAACCACTACAACATCTTTCTTTTATATATATAGTAGACGTTCGTTGCTAGATTTAACAATATATGATTGGATATATATATATATATATAACGTCATCCACAGACAGACTGTTTCGCAGCTCATCAGTGTGGTTAGACATCCGGTTGCCTCTAGCCAGGATTGAAACCCGGCTGAATTGGCGTTATTCGGAGATTCTAACCATTAAGCCATTTATATATATATAAATTTAATGACAAATTCCAAGATTTCATTGTTGGAATTGTTACCTGATGATCCGGTGTCCTTTAAAAAGGATTTTGGTGAAATAAATTATTGTAATGGTACCTTAAAGTGGTCTGTTTTTCATTAAATATTAGCTCTGTATTCACATTTCATCCTCCTTGGAATTACGCCTTCGGTTTACCAAGTTCTTCGAAAGTGAAATGAATAATACATACATACATACATATATACATATATATATATATATATATATATATATATATATATATATATATATATATATATATATATATATATATATATATTAGTGATTATAGCAAAAATATGTTATAAACCGCTATATGACATTTTTTTTTAGGTGTTAATAAATATTATTGTTAAGCTCTACTCTGTATTGAAATTAAAATATAATATCTGGAATTTGTAACAATATATATATATATATATATATATATATATATATATATATATATGTATGTATTATTCATTTCACTCCAAGAAAGGCGGAAATGCCACGAGTACGAAGAGTTTCACAGGAGTAAAAAGTGAGAGAAAACTGTGTACAAGGAAGATTGAGAAGAAGAAAACGATATATATATATATATATATATATATATATATATATATATATATATATATATATATATAAACTAAAAACTAAAATAATAATAAATAAAATTAGGAAAAATACAAAACAAGAACAAGACAATGAAAAATAAAGTCTAGCTTAATTATATTTTATTGGAAAGATAGCCACCCTAAACCAGCAGTCTTTCAAATTTTTACTGTTTTTTATTTAGCTAGTTGTATCCTGAAAATCCGTTAGGTGAAACTATGGTAGGCAGGAAGGTTTGGGCTCACGAGATTTTTAGATTTTGCTCTACTCAGTGCATTGAGCACTGTTTTTACTTAATTCAATCTTGAGGTGATACCTTTCTTTTCAGTAGGCATTGCGATGCTGATTGATAAATTTTGACAGACACGGAGGTTTTTATTCCTTATCTTTTTTACTCATTTTTTTCCCTGATATCTGTTTGTTTACAAATTTTATTATCTGTGCTATTTTTACCGTCCGTGTATAGGTATTAAAATGATACATAATGATATACATTACACACACACACACAAACACACACACACACACACACACATATATATATATATATATATATATATATATATATATATATATATATATATATATAAAGTGAATGAAGTTAAGGCGACAATCTGTTTCATGCTAGGCCATGTCAGACCACGATTACGTCTAGCATGAAACAGACTGTCGCCTCTAAGTGTTGACTTCTATGTTCACTTTTATATTTACACACGCTCTATCTCTGATATTGAGCACTTTATCCCATAAATATAGCACACCTTAAGACTATAGTTATTTATATATATATATATATATATATATATATATATATATATATATATATATATATATACTTAAATATGCACTATGTTTGATATTGGCCACTTTTGCACATAAATAATGCACACCTTAAAACTATATTTTTATCATATATATCTGTTATTTCAACTGTCCTTATATATATATATATATATATATATATATATATATATATATATATATATATTTCCAATCAATCATATTAAAAGGCCTTTTACATCTCAAAGAATACTATGAATCTTTCTAGTTACTGAAATGCAAAATTACAAGTATATATATGCATATATATATATATATATATATATATATATATATATATATATATATATGTATATATCTGTGTTATTTCAACTGTCTGTGTATAGTATATATATATATATATATATATATATATATATATATATATATATGTATGTATGTGCGTTTTTGTGTGTTGTGTGTTCGATTTCCAGATTGTATTTTTACGCAGACCCGAATTGATTAGGTCTTCTCAGAAGAATAGGAACGGAGTTTATCACATAAATATATATTAAATAAATCTATACTGTATAAATTATAAC